TGATGATGATGATGATGATGATGATGATGATGATGATGATGATGATGATGATGATGATGATGATGATGATGATGATGATGATGATGATGATGATGATGATGATGATGATGATGATGATGATGGGGGATTGGTAGTGCTGGTGATTTGCTGGAGAGACGAGTTTGCCTTTTTGAGGTTGCGCCTTTTTTGAAATATCTAACGACGCCGATCGGCACTCGGAATGTCGTGACAATTGAGTCTTGTAGGCCTCTCTTTTTTTCCTTATCAACGTTCATTGAATTGGCCTCAGCAATGACTACATTAGTCTTTACGGCAGTGTACCACGCCTCGCAATCTTGAGAAAGGCCATTCTGGATCTCCTGGTTGACTTGTGAGTGCTTGAATGAGGTCAAAATTTGTGTCTGTAATGATGCTTTTCTCCGTCATGGCCAAGAACACCCGTAGCGCTCGTCGCCCGTCCTCCGTGTCTGGTATCCTTTCCTGCCATTTCACGTTTTGTACTTGAAGCGAATACGCCATAGTTTTTCTGCCTGGCTTTCGCACAGAGTCCACGTCTAAGCCCTCAACAAGAGAGCTGCCAGGACAACAGCTCTGCACATCCTCAGTTCTGTGTTGAAGAGGAGGTCTTGATGGCTCCAGACGGAGCGCTCCAGCCGACCAGAGCCTGATCGGCTTTGGAAATCTTATTTGCGAGTCCACTGTCCATCTCTATTCCTCTTGAAATTTTACTGCTAGGGCGCGTGAATCTGTCCAATGCTGTTAGACTAGTTCCACCAGCATCAATACGGCGTTCGCTGAAGTCTGAATTTGCCGCTGGTTGATGTCTGACAACTGTGTTCTCCGTGCTGATGGTCAGGCTGAAGTCAGCGGAGTCGTAGGCGAAATTTTCCATACTCTCCTGCGTGTCCTCCCCTGTCATAGTATTTGGGGTACAGTCATCTGAGTTTTCTTTGAATACTCAAATTGGTAAAGTTGAGAGATCCGGTGTGGCATAATTCCGTGAGACCGCAGATGAGAGCCGAAAGCCAGGATGCGGTGAAGTAGAATTATACACCAGGTTCACCGTTTCATTTGACGAGGACAATCAGTGGTTTACGTTCAACGACAGCAGTCATGACTGCGAAGGCGGTCCGAGATGAGGTCATCCATACCAAATCCTCATACATGGCAACTTTCAGCAGGGTATGTGCAGGAAGGCATCCTTGTCAGTGTAAAGTCGTTCAACGTCCATCCAACCGCATCAGTAAACCTACGGCGTGCGTTCCCGCCCACGACACCCCGTCCAACCTCTTTCGTCCAATGAGTCAAGTCAAGCGCATTCGACAGTAGATGGCTGGCATAGCATGAAACCCTAGCTTCTAGTCTACCAGACACGTATTTGGCCTATTAGTGGGCTAACCACACACTGGGTTTCGAAAGGCCACAGTGGAAAATTTCTGAATTTTAACCTGTAACTGTCTAATGGGCCTGGAAAACCTATGGAGACAATGAAGCTTATAATGAATTGTCAGTGAGTGCTACAACTTCCAAACGCACTCTCTGTGAAGAAATGCTACCGAATGTCTTTATTCCAGACGTCCATATTTACGAGATGGAGGAGAGACTGCCTGTGAGAATGTTTCCAGCTTAGGAGTTTTTGGTATGAATCATTTTGCAACTGAGTCGGAGGGAAAAAAGGGATTCGGTGCCTCACATGCCACTGTTTTAAGGAAATTAGTTCACACAACCCGACCACTTTGATTCCAAGTTCAAGACGGTGACCGTCGTCAATAGTTAACGATTGCTGCTTGCTTTTAGACATAATTGGACAGGAAAAACCTTTCTGTTCGTCTCAATGCAGTTTGAAATGAACCCTCTGTCTGGTCCAACCTTTTGCGTAGATCTTGCACCTATGCGGTTTTCAGTGTCCTCGGCGCGCACTGTGGGCCGGTCCCAGACAGTCTGAGGGCACAGCCAGCAGGTGACCTTCACCTGCTCAGGAGAGCGCGAAAAAGAAGCCAGCGTGGCTGTCTGACTACACATGCACACTTCGACTGAGCCCTCCCAAACGCGGCGGGGTAAACAACGCAGCTGCCAAGCGTGCACTTGTATAGGTTTACCCGAGAGAGCTCCCCTATAAATGCAGTCCGGCTGAGTGGGATTGCTCCTTCAGACGACGAACAGATGGTCTCTCCGAGTGCGCGCAAGGTCGGAAAATGCTGTCTGGACAATTGGTTCATGCTGGCCACCGTAGTGGGAGTGGTCATTGGATTTGGCGCTGGATTTGGTCTGAAGCAAATCCACATAGGACAAGTGGCAAAGATGTGGCTTCGTAAGTACGCATTCTTCTATATACCCTCCACCACAAAACCCTTATTTTATGACCCGCTATCTCAAATAAACCGTCGCCGTACCACCACTTAGCATGCGCACTTTACTGACGTCCGCACCGGTTGCACATCCGTTTTTATTCCTCCCTGTACTTCTCTACTCCCTGTCAAAGTGGCATTAAGAAGCACACAGGCGGTGTGGCACATGCATACGGGCTGCTACAACTCTAACAGCCACTGCGCCCAATCGCTGCATCGTATGGCTGACCGGCTCGCATAGCGGACTGGTGCCTGGAAGAGGACGGAGGGCGAGCTAGATCGACCCCGGGAACCGTTTTCACGTCACTCGGCGCATGTTCCTCACTATAAACAATCGGACGCGTTTTTAAACTACCACGGCATTCGGTGGACACTGCCTTCCGCGATGGTCGAACTATTAGCACACAGGCGAACCTGTACTGCTTCTCTGGGGATGTTAATATTTACGATTACTCGCTTAGCCTACTTGACACTCAGATCTTGATCCTAACTAATTTGTGCAGTCCTACTAGAGCAGGTCGATTCGGTGGTAGATGAAGAAACCGTTAGCTCCTCCCCCGTCCCTTTGCACACTCATGCAATCCCGTTTTCTAGAGCATCTTTGGATACCCGTGTCGATGGAATAGCGTTTTGCGCATATGGGCATCAGTTACAACATCCTAAACCTTGGCTACGTGTATGTTGTGGTGCGAGGAATGAAACCTGCGAACTTATTTCTGTCTGAATCCCTTTGCAGATTTTGATGTGACAAATAAATGACTCATAGTCTAGACGAGTGCCTCAAAGTGGGTAGGCATGGGCCGTTTTCATTGTAAGAATACTGTTTCATAGTTTTATAGTCGCCCACAAAATACAGCTTCTTGCTCGTTGCCGCTTGTAAGCACTTTTCAGCCTCTCAGGCGCGTCAATGCGACTTCCGGTGGGCACTTCTCTTTTTCTCCGCGGACGCTGGTTGTCGGTCACGCGTCACTCAAAAGAACATTACCGACAAAAAGAAGGAAATTGACATTGCTCTCCCTGAATAAATTTGAACAAAGCGAAGGTGACAAAACGTGCAGGATTTAATGACGTCATAAAATTTCGCTACCGCTTATTATGCAATGACCGCATGCAGCTTCAAAAGAGGGCGCAAAATCTTATGACGTAGTTAAATCCTGCATGTTTTTTCGCCCTTGCTTTGTCTAAAGACAGGGAAGACTTGGACGGCCATTTCTGACTTATTAGCCGTTGTCAGCCAGTCTTGCCCAACCCTATGTTTTTAGATGTACCTGGGGTTAGAACAGGGGTTCTTTTGCTTATTGGCCGTTAGTAAGTCCGACTCTTTAACTATCGAGTCCCAAAACGCAACGGGACGAGCAGTTACCGATACCCGATCCTCAAGTATTAAATTTTAAAAAGACGTACTTTGCAACCAAATGAGCTCAAGAAAGAGTATTTGGCGACGGTCGGATATGTGACCCCACCTAGTATCTAATTCAATGGAGTACCCACAAAGGTCATTTGGGAAAGATTAATTTAATCCCTCTCCTGCATGCTTTTGCTTATACACCGTCATGCCCCCCCCCCAATTGTTACCATTAAAGTTAACGTTAAGCTTAGCGCTATGCATAAGGTTACTGTTGGGCCTAGGATTGAGGGTCACTGGTAGGGTTGGAGGTTATGACTAGGGTTACGTTTATGTGCTAGGGTTATGGTTTGACTTCTGACGCCAGTTTAGGGTTAAGGTTTGGCTATCACTGTTTTCAGCTTAAATTATACCCTCAGTCGCAGCCACCACGTAATTCAGATTTATTTAAATGTGGTCGGTCATCACAGACTGGGATCAGTTGGCCTGGAATATCTAACCAAGACTCCCGCTTTTCACTTATTCAACCAGTTTGCACCTCGTACAGTATTGCAGATTGTACCTCCACGTTTTCACGATTTGTTCGCGTCTTTAAACAAGCAAATGGTGCGAAGGTCAGTTTTTTTCTTTTGCTTTTCTAAAAAAGCTACCTGCTGGTTTTGTTCACTGTGTCCATCAAACCCCTATTGCCATCATTCTCGCATCACAGTAGTCCTTGTGTCACGTTTTCTCAGTGCGGCCACTTACCCAATCGTCGAGGAACATTTTCTGAATGGAGTCTATGGAATATATTTGAATTTCTAAGCACATCGAAAATCGACGGGAAAACGTTGTACTTCTTAAGTGCTCATTTTTACAGAGTGTAGTTTTTGCGGAAGAATGGAAAGAGGCTCGTTCAAAAGCTAGCACTTGACTGGATGTTATGCTGCATAATAATTAATATTGCAATCCTATTTATGGAACTTTTCGAATCGGAAACATTTCAGAATTTCGGTCAACATTAAATGAGTTAGTACCTCCTCAGTGTATGTGGTAGAACGGCACTCAGGTGTTTCAAAACGTGGGGCCGGGCATGACTGGCTGATGCTGGCCAATAAGCCAAAAATGATCATTCACTCTCCCTTGTGTTCGTCGGTTATGCTATTATTTTTATACATATGTAAATATTAGAAGTTCAGATATCTTATCACGCGCATCATCTCCCGAAGAAGACGAAGAAGAGAGGGCGGGCTTATGTATATAATGCATATTTTTTTCGCCGGATTACAAAAGCGCCATTCGGCAACAGGTTTTGCCTTTACTCCTTTAGCACAAACCCCCATGACGATTTTCGAAGTAAAAGATCAAGAGGTTCCGGGAATACAAAAGACGAAGAATATCGTCACCCTGCCCGCCAAAAAGGTGCGCTGGACGGCCGCCATGGATAAGGCCGATTACTATATGAGTCTGATGGAAAAGGAGTCTTATGCGTCTTCGGCTGCCAGCGAGTTAAAAAGTTAGTGAACGGCAAAAACAGGGCGATAGGGAAGTTGAGGAATACGAGTGCCCTCACGAGAATGGAAGCATCGGCCGCTAAAGTCACTAATGCCTGAACGGCGTGCTTTTGCGGGCCTACGAAAGGTATAAGGGCTCCGAGTCCTCCTACGTCCCAATTACATGGCACCTCGAATTTTGAGCTGTCAAAGTAACTGAACCAGGGCCTTTTTTCCGCACCAAGGACTCAGTGTGGACAGTAACGTCGGCCTAAGGGTTTGTGACGCGTTTGGAACATTGGAATTGGAGGCAGACGAGGTGATCTTGTCATCTGGCATGATTTCTTTGGTCGTCTCTGTCCCACTCGGTCTGGCCCTTGATGCTATTGACGACTTTCCCGGGAAAAGTCCGACTAAGCTGACCAACAGGATTTCGACGCCTTAGGAATCGAAGGCAATCTGAAAGCTGCTCAGTACTTTATCCTCAGCAAGAGCTTATTCATTCTTCTCACTACTCTCGTGTGCTCAGTCTTGCGAGTCTGCAATGTTTGGTAACAATCAGGAGATGGCACCCAAAAAAATCCGTTAGCTAGAAATAATACCTTTATCAGTGGTCTCAAACGCCTTCAGGCTATAACAGCGCTTGCAGGCCTACTTTCACGCACTACTTGGACTTTCCGCGACGGCCTAACACGGGCTGGCCGAACGAACATCGCAGGAGGTTACATAGACAATGGTGGCTGTTACCCAACCT